TAAGGAATATATAAACAGTAAGGTGTGGTTTATTTCTTTCTTTTTCTTAACCTTTTTTGGTGAAAACAATGAAAGTTCTATAGTTGTAGAGTTAAACAACAGCCCTAGAGCTTAAAAGCAGGTGCAAGTGTTTAGTCAGCACAACAAATGCCTTTTATAATGTATATTTCCAAATGTTGCAAGCTGAATTTAGTATTTAAGAAGCAGGCTTTGCAGCTACAAATGAGTCAGGCAACCCACACTACAAAATACAAGCAGTGAAATGTACATTTTTATGATTGGAGACATTATTTCACATTTATGTAGCACTTTGTACCTGCTGAGAGTTTTCTAACCTTTAGTTAACTTCTGTTAAGGATCTGGTAGGCTTGGTCTTGGTGACCCATCATTGCAAAGGTAGCAGAAAGAGGAAGAAGCTACCAAAATAATCCAAAGGACAGACTCCAGGGAGCGGGACTATTGGAGAAATCCAGTGGAAGACATGATAGAAATGGCTGTAAATTGTGACCCTCATAGAAACCTGAATTTTCATGGTGTGGTGAGGAGGTTTCTGTGGGAGTGAGAGAGTGTGTCAGAGCCATAAAGGACCTGTCACTTGTCTCACTTAGGAATAGGCTCATGGAACATGACCAAGGATATAAAGGACTGGGCCACATCTAACTAAGGTAGAGCACAAGAATTCCCTGGGTTAATGTCAGAGAGGAAACCCAGGCCCTCTACTTGCAAATTCCCTCAGCGTCATTGCTGCATGAAGACTCCAGGGAGAGCACTCAAGGGTCTGAGGTAGGACAGCCAGGCACATGTCACATCTGTCTCACCAACTGGTCAGGCCTGAGTGGATTCCTGCAAACCTCTGAACTCCTCAAAGGTCAATCCAGAACCAATTGGAACATTTAGAATCTTTCTGGGTGGCTGAAATTATAGCATTATAATTATTCATATTTAGAAAGTAATAATGGCCAGCACTTAGTACTCACTAAGTGAGGACCCTCCTAAGCATGTATGGACATTAAGTTACATGCTCGAGGTCACATAGCTAGTCCACAATTTTGGATTTTGAGTCCTGTGCAGTGTAGCTCCAGAGTCTGTGCTGTAATTGGTTGTCATAATGGCTTCAGAACCTTTAAAATGCTTTCTCATTGTATTATTTATATATGAAATATAAGTTAAAATTTCCATATTACAGTAACATTAGAAAAATGGTTAGTTAATAAGCTATTTTTAAAGATAGGAGAATGAGGTCTCTACTCTTATCCCCAAAATCACCCACAGACTACACATATTTATTTTGTGTTCCCAAATTGCTTTGGAATGTCTTGTACTTGTTATTTTCTGTTATAGTTGGTTGACATTCCTGGGACAAGGCCAGGAAACACTTCTGTTCACTCCTTTGATGTGTGACCTACCTGAGACAGGTAAAAAATTGTCTTTGTTAATGTCTATCATGATTCCCTGAACAAGGTAGGCATTTAATAAATGTTCACTGAATTAATGGTTTCTTAGTCTGCTTAGGCTGCTATAACAAAATACCAGAGATCAGGTGGTTTATTAACAATGGAAATTTATTTCTCACGGTTCTGGAGGCTGGAATTCTGAGATTGAGTAAGGGCCTGCTTCCTAGTTCAGACTGCACCTCTTTTTGTCTTCACAAGGCAGAAGGCAGAGGAAGCTTCCAGGGTCTCTTTAATGAAGTCATTAATCCCATTCATGAAGGTTTGCCCTCAGGAGCTAATCATCTTCTGAAGGCCTACCTCCAAATGTGTCATATTAGAGACTGGGTTTCAACATGTGAACTTGCGGGGGAGATGCTAAACATTCAGTCTATAGCAGATGGAATTGAGTTACATTACACTCCAGGCAATGGGTTTGTTCTCATTTGATACAGGGTCAAAAGTTCACCCTGTATTAACACCATCCAGTGGAACTTTCTGCAATAAGGAACGGTTTTGTATCTGTACCACCAGCCACATATGACTACTGGGCAATTGTGATATAGCTAGTGTGATTGAGAAACTCTTTTGTAATTTTAAATTTTTTTTCCCAGTACTGAGCCTTGAACCTATAGCCCTTGACCTTAGCTATATCCTCAGCCAGCTTTTTTTTTTGTTTTTGAGACTAAATTGTAAGTTACCTAGGCTTGGCTCAAACTTGTGATCCTCCTGCCTCAGCCTCCTAGAGGGCTTGGGATCACAGGTGTGGGTCACCACACCTGGCTCAAATCCATGTTTCTAAAACCACTGCTTTAGATTCAGAGATTTTTGTTAAAGTTAAAGACCCAGTCCTAGCAATTATAGATAAGAGGTGAAACAGTAAAATTATTACCTTCTAAGTGGGTCTATGATACCACACATGCAGAGTTCCTCAAGAAAAATGAAGTTTTAAAATTACCATGACCAAGATCTATCAAATTATAAAATGTATGTGCCCTTTGAATTCACAACGCATTTTCTAGGAATTTCTTTTATTCTGTTACACACCATAAGGCAATTTACTAGGAAAGTCATTGAATAAAAGACAATCTAAAAGTCCACAGGTAAGAAGCAAATTAAATAGAGAGTGGAACTGTGTTAGGCAGAATAATGTCCTCCCCAAAGATGTCCATATTCTAATCCTTGGATGTTGGGAGCAATGCGACATAATTCTAGGGAAAAATCATTTGGTTAGCCTAGTTCTCTTGCCTACAGCCCAGCTACAGAATAACTCCAGTTTGGCCTCCGGTCACAACTGAGACTTCAGTGATCCAGTGATGCTGTGATTCTCCAGGACAAGAAACATCCTG